AGAGCTTGAAATTATGTATGGATTAATCCATCACACATTCAGGAATTTAAGGGTCTGTGAATTGCAAAAGCATTCTCAGGGAGCAATGGTTTGATAGTCTTTTTAATTTCCCTAACTTCTTCCTAAAGTACGTGGGATTTTCTTTTTAGAGGCTTACTAGGACTGCAAGTCCACCAAGCTTGGACTCTGTGAGCAATAAAAAGCTGTTAACTACTGATGATACAATGCATGTCACAAACCCAAATATTATCATGAAAGTAAGGACTGGAACAGAAAGGTACCATCAGAGCCTAAGAAAATATCTCCTTTTTTCCCCCTAAGTACAATTAGTACAGTTTAACTCAAAGCAGTTAAAGCAAACCTAGACATAAACAAATGGTTTAAAACAAGCATCAACTCACTTTTTCCTTCAGACACTGCCACTATTTTTAGAGGACATCTCATGGATACAATAACCTAGGCATCATGTAGTTTCAAAGAAAATAAGACAATTTATTTAATGGAAGTTAAATTAACATATATACAAAGATCAGAAGATTGTCCAATTCCCCGAGAAAGGTGCATGCCATTAAATATGTAGTTACCACAGTCAAGCTAAGAAGAAGTGCTCTTTCAAACTGAAGTAGTACAAGAAGAGACCAAATTCATATACAAGTTGGTAAAGCAGCTGTTGCAATCACCAGACTTAACAGGCGCAGGATACCAAAAAAAATCTAGTTTCAAGCTGTAAAGTAAAAATTCTGGTCTCAAGTGTTGCTCTTCTCCAATATGTATAACTGACAGAGAAATACACTAAAATGTCACACAAACCTCCCAGTACCTTTGAAAGCAAATGCACCAGGTAAATTCTGTACACTAATAACATCTAAAATTAATAATAAATCCTGACAACCTATCACCCAAGAGATCTGGAAGAACACTGGGTATCTGACACTGTGAAGGATGGATGCAGTGTCAATATAGGAAGGGGAATTAACGCACTCTCTAAGTACCCAAACTATGTATTACCCGTGCCATGTCCCTGAGCAGCCATCTTAATAGCAGAGCACTGCAGCGTGGGGAAGGCAACAGCACAACACATGCTCTCTGCTACTGAACAGTGTTGCAGTGACATTCCTCAGCTTTGGAAAAGTCAGAGTTCGGAGTTCAAGTTGCCAGTGGTGCACTACTAGAAGGAACAAGGGCTAATAGCTACTCTAGCCCTTCTTTCTTTGATGAAAAGTCGTATCTGGTTACCTGACTATCATTATAGAGGTGAGACAAGGTATAGTAGTACCCAAATGCTTCCTTCTAACACTATCTGCAGAGGGAAAGCCAAAGGAACTTAAAACAAGATGATATTAAAATCTCAGTACAGGATAAAAGAATTGAGTGAGTTGTCAAGGCCTCAAGAATGTCCAGCAGAACAGGAAAAAAACCTGTGTATTCGGATAAAATCTCGTATCTCATGTGATAATCTACAGGCGTTTTCAACACAGATCTTACTCTTTTTCTTGAGTCACAAGGTATTCAGCTTTTCTTCATTAGAAAGAGAGCTTGATCATTATCAAGTGTTTCCAAAAACTATTTTAAAAAAAGATAAAACAAATGCTGTTCACACTGTAAAGAGAATGACATTCAAATGCATGAGAAGGTGTAAAAAATTTCAAAATATATAAGACCGTTGGGCTAACATTCATTTAAATCTTATTAATATAAACCTTGGTTATGTAAATCCTAGATTATGTCTTAGAATTCTTGCCTACAAAGAAATAGGATCTGGCTTTCACTTTAGTCATGCAGGAGACAAATGTAAAATGTGCATCTTTTTGTGTGATTAGCAACAAAGACTCTCAGCACAGTCAAAAAGGTTTCAGCCTTTAGCTACCAGATCTACCATCTTATTTCTGTGGCTGAGCTGTAATTAACCTTTAGTCAGTCCCTCAGTCATAAGAATAGAAAATTATGGATTCTCTTTCTGTGATCCCAGTCTTATCTTTATAAACCTTTACAAAGATTTTCAGAATTTTCAAAGAGGATAAATCAGACTGAGAGTACAGCCTCTTTTATGGATAAACAGAAGAATTTTAGATTAATCTTCAGGTATGATGCACTATAGACCACCACATGTAGCATAAAACTTTCCTTATAACAAGTCATCTGAAGACTCCAAGCTAAGATCACTGCCAAGTTCATTAATCATGTAAAAAAGCTAGGCCTTTGCATATTTCATTATGTGAAATGTGATGTATAGTCACATGTAGTCCCCAAATAAGGAAAGCCTTGCAGTAATTCGGCTAAGATGTTATCTGATCTAATGGTGAGGGGCTCTATCACCACAGGGTACAGAAAGAGTGCAGAGTAGCACGGGATGCATTGCCCAGACTCACTACTTCTAAATCTACTTTTCCAATCAAAGGTTTTCCATAGCATTCTTCTTGTCTCTTGTTCTCTTGTTCTTGTCTCTTGTTTCTTGTGGAAATGCACCTGCACACACAGCTGTTCTTGCCTATAGCTGTCTCTCAGAGGCACATTACGAGAATAGCCTAGTGAAATGGCCATGACACTAACATTGTGATGGTCCTCCTAAGGCCTAATTGCAGCAGAAGCATAAAATAAGCTGTATTACAAAACAGGAAGTAAATACAAAGAGTCAAGACAGAGGACCACTAAACACATTCTTCTAGTTTTCCCTCTGGTGTGCAGAGCACAGCAGAGGCTCAGGCCCACGCTCATTAGTGGCCCAGAAATGGAGCAACCAGAAAAACTCCCTTTAGCATCATTCTTTCTGGCCCCATTGTGAAGCAGCAAATACTAGTACTGTTGTCTATTACAACCACCTCATGGTGCCACAGTAAATTTTAATCCCTGTGACATTGAAAACTGCCCCTATAGTTCTCAGTTTATACCAGCAGTTATTCTCTGCTAGAGACAGCACAACTACTGTATTAAAACTGCTCCTATTTTTTTATTTCTCAAGAAAGCAGAGTAAAAATAATAGGCCAAATATTTACCTTAGACAGCAACTTATTAGGCAATAATATTAACATCTGTTAAAATGTTGGGTTTGTTTCAATGAATACTTGTAAATTGAAAACAAAATACCTTCCATACTTCTAAATCCACCAAAATTCAGTTCTACTGCAGATACCATTGTCATATACAAGATTGTACAGTTATTTCAAGAAAATAAGCTCAAGTACTTACTTCCAGAATAAACTTTTGTCTCTAACATGAATTCCTGTGTAGCAAGTACAACAGGAAAATAATGCTATGCCTACTGACTGGATTTTGTATTGCACTGTAACATGCAAGAACATGTATTTTCTAACATTCAGTTTCAAGTCTATTTTCACCAGTACTACAGTGAGAAAAATCTTTCTTCTCTTTGTTTAGATAAAAGCATCTGGTAGAATCTAACATAGCACCACTACTATTAAATTAACAATCCTGCATTTTACTTCTCAAGTGCAGTTACATCCCACATGTACTGGGCTTTTCTCACTAAGGTTCTAAACAGCCTCATTTTATAGCACTTTAACAGAAAAAAAAAACAACACCAAAACCCCCTCCCAGATAAACAGAACACACATAACAATTAAAATCTTAATATAATTTTTGTTTATTCAATAACAGTTTTTTTATTTGACTGAATAGAAGCACAGACAATTTACAAGGATTTCTGTGCATTAATGGAATGTTAAGTAAAAGGTCTAAAGCCAAAATCTTGAACCCTTTTTAAGTTTGTGACTATTAACACCCTAACCTAGCCCTGCCCCCAGATAAAAGGAACTAATTTTCTGTGTTAAGTCTAACCAGATTCTTCTAAAACCAAACCATTGCATAAGATTCCCATTCTCTCTGGAAAGTTTTCAGAATTTCCATATAATTAGATCTGAAACTCAGCCCTAAATTGCCACTGAGAACAGAGTGAAGTCCAAATTCTATCAGCATCTAAACTTCACTTCCTCAGGTTTCAATACCTTTGCAAATACAGAATTAATTTATCAACTAATTTCTCTTTTAAGGATCACACAGCACATACCTAGACCACAGAAATCCAGACATAAGTTAATTCTCAATTTCAGAATTTTATTTAAGGCTGTATTATGGTGATTAAAAACTTCCAACAGATTAAAAGATATATCTGCAGCTGGAATTCAAACCTCCACTTTAATAAATACACTTAGTGAAACAATTTGCATTAAATAATTTGACCCCATTATAGTCTCTGCAGGAGGAAATGCTAAGTCTATTAATTTTAAATTTTCAGTTTACTGCAAGAGCTTAAGTTATACATTTTAAATAATTACTTTTATATTAAACTTCGTTGATTCCCAGATAATTCTACGGTCAAAGCCATCACAAAGTTATAACTAAGCTATGACTTAAAAAATGTCTTCTGTTCTCACTAATAAACCTCATTGCTAAGTGCCAGCTAGTTGTTCTGATCCATTAGTCCACCATGTCTCATACAGATTACTTGTTTTTTAAAAAAATAATTGTTTTGCTCTGAAAATAGGAATGGTTGACACTTCCCTAAATGATAGACTTTATACTTAGAAGCATGGCACTTCCACAGAGAGACATTCCAAATGACAAATGAAAACTACATAAACAAACATATGGCAAAGTAACATCAAATGGCCACTTGGAAATCTGACATGTTCTTCTCATAAGATTTTAAGTATCTCTCACATTAAAGGAATTTTGTCTGCGGCATACTAACCAAATACATCCACTGTGTCCTCAGAGAAATACCATGATTCATTCAATATGCTGAAGAGACGCTGATTTTTTTTCCTTTGCAGAAGATCTCATGTATCTGCAGTGACAACTACGGAGTGAGTATATGGACAAGAAACAGTACTAGGCATCTTGTGTTATCAAACAATGATAAAATAGAAAAATATGTAAAAGTAGTTCTACAGTCACATCTTGGGAAGAACAAAGTATTAGAAACATACTCAAAGTTATCTTGACATTGATCCTAATATAAATTAAGATGATACATAACTTACTGGTAAAGTTCCTGGTAAAGAAGCATCAAAGAAAGATACCAAAGAGTTAGGAGGTGCTGCAAACTGGACTTGGGAACCAGAAAAAAGTTTTGAGTTGGAGCTGATCTGTGCGTGAATTTCCAGGCCTACAACTGGTACCCATGGAGCAAGGCTGGAAAAAAAGAAGAGAAGGGAAATATAATTTTAATATAGATTACATTAAATCAAATTGCATAAACACCTAAAAATACAATAATTTAAAACTTTTCATTAATCTTTTAACAAAAATTGTAAAAACCCTCTAAATTACGTTGTTTATACATCCACAGAGTAATGGCTAAAGGTGTGCTGCAATGCTAGAGAACTGAGACTAAATTACAATATCTATGGAGGGGACTGTATGGTAAAGTGTCCTCATTATATATAGAAAAGAATGGCATAAAAAAAAAAATAAAGTTATCTGAAACCTATAATGTTTCCTTACAGGAGAAATCTCAGATAAATTAATGAGGCAATCTTGCATGCTGGATGAACCCTAATTTGGTATCTCATGAAATTACAAAATCATTATAAATATCAATTACTTCTCAGGTAGCCTGATAAATCTCCAACAGACAGGTGGCATAATAAATTATGTATTCTTTGTCAGCTAGTCACTTGCATGCTGGGAAAGGTGGCTCTCCAGAGCAGTGTTAGTAGCATATTAGCATAAACATTAGTAATCTGGTAATAGAGAAATCATCATTTCAACCAGAGAGCTACTGCTCTTTGACTATACTCCACAGAATAAAGCTTCTCCATATAATCTAAAAAGTAATTGCAATTCTCACATCCATAACCTTTATATGGACAAGAGAAAAAGGTCACCTTTACAGTATGAATTGCTTGACAGTTTCTGTAAGTAATTATCTGGCCTTATACAAATGAAGTGGCACAAATAATATTTCAGTGATGAAATCACATTTCTGTGGCAGAATACTTCAGCAGCATAAGTACCCAGATAGCTATAGGAGATAAGCGAGCTGTGGAAAAACATCAAAGAAATATATCAAGTACAGTGTTCCTTCCAAAGCTGAAGATAGTACACTGCCAAGATTTTAGTTCTGCCCTCCAACAGCTGAGGACATCCCTACAGACACCAAAATAGTGATGTAGATGCCACTTATATTGCTGCTTTAGGAATATTACCATAAAGGATTCAGATTCAGATGCTTAAAGAATACTCTTTTATTTTACTGACACATAGTATTTTTCTTTAGTATTTTCAACTATTCATAAAAATACCTCAAAGTTTAGGAAAAAAAGTTGCTTTTGGTTTTTTAATTTTGGTGGCTAATTTATTTCAGTGTTTCCTGCACTTCTTGGAAACACACTCCTTTTGTATCATAGCACTAAAAATAACACCAGGCTTCACCTGGTTTACACTGAGACACCTACTAACACTGACAGGAAATCTGAAGTTTCTTGCACCTTTTGTTCAAGGTTTACTTTCATTTGTGTCTCTAAAGGAACCAGCAGCATCTTTCTGCTGGTGATCAGTTGTAGAGAGAGAGAAGCCTGAACCTCATCAGGAGAACATGACAGGTTGTACAATTCCCAGCTCTCAGTTGCGGCAGGAACCAGACGCTCCGTTCCGGGCCCGCTGTCAAGTTTCACGTTTCTCCACCGAAAATAAAAGCTTCCTTCGGACAAAAAAAAACCCTTCGCAAAATCGGTTCAACCCTGGCTGTTCGCACTCCGGACACGTCAGCGCTAACACTTGCTGACTGGCCTGCACTGCGAAGGAACTTCACCAGGGCCAAACGTGCCAAACGGGTCAAAGGGAGAAGAGCTCCGGAGACAGGGCCTGGGGTCACGTTTCTCCACCGAAAATAAAAGCTTCCTTCGGACAAAAAAAAACCCTTCGCAAAATCGGTTCAACCCTGGCTGTTCGCACTCCGGACACGTCAGCGCTAACACTTGCTGACTGGCCTGCACTGCGAAGGAACTTCACCAGGGCCAAACGTGCCAAACGGGTCAAAGGGAGAAGAGCTCCGGAGACAGGGCCTGGGGGCGTGTGAGAGACAAACGCGCCGAGGAGGCGCCGCTGCCACCGCGGGCCGCAGGCGGGCGCCTCCCGCGCTCGGGAGATGTATCTAGAGCCGCCCTGCTCCGTCCCCTCACGTCTGCTGCCGCACAAGCCCGGCGCCTCGAAACGGCCCCTCTTCCTGACCCCGCCCCCTCGCCGTCCCCCTGAGGCGGCGGGACCTTGTGGCGCCCGAGGCCCTGGTCAAGGGAAGGGCCTGTGAGAGGTGCTGCCCCTCAGGGTGGTGGTGGGGAACCTGCTGCAGGCGCTGAGCTCCCGCCCTCACCAGGGGCTCGGTGAGAGTTGGCTCCCTTCAGCTTACCTGGAGGGTTGCGTCCAGTTTTGAGCGCCTCAGTTCAAGAGAGATATCGAGGTGCTGGAGCGAGTACAGGGGAGGGCAAAGAAGCTGCTAAGGGCCTAGAGAATAAATCTGATGAAGAAGGCTTGAAGGAGCTGGCAATGTTTAGTTTGAGGAAGAGGAGGGTGAGGGGAGACCTCATCAGTCTCTACAACTACCTGAAAGGTCACGGTAGAGAGGCCGGTGCTGGTCTCCTCGGTAATTAGTGACAGAACAAGAGGAAATGGCTTCAAGCTGCAACAGGGTAGGTTTAGACTGAATATTAGGGGGAAAAAAAATCACAGAAAGAGTGGTTAAACACTGGAATAGGCTGTCCAGGGAGGTGGTTGAGTCACCATCCCTGGATGTGTTTAAGGATCGTTTGGATGTGGTGTTGGTGGATATGGTTTAGGGGAGAACCTTGTAGAGTAGGGATGATGGTTGGACTTGGTGATCCTAAGGGTCTTTCCCAACCTGAATAGTTCTATGATTCAATGATAGTGGTGAACATGGGGCTTTTGACCCTTACCTTGCTGTGGAACAGCCTTGTTGGTCATTGTGGCTCAGTGTCATGGTGCCCTGTTACCAGGCAGGTGCAAGGCCTCCTCACACACAGCTCTCTTGCTTACCTTCCTCCAGATTGAGGTCTTACTCTGAAATATGTTAGCAATTTAATTGGCAACATTGTCCATCCTAAGTGATTCTGTGATTCATTATAATGTGATACGTTGCACATAGTAAAAGCAGTTTATACGAGTTCATATGACCTCCTTGATTTGACAGTAACAAACAGCGTTAAATTTCAAAAACTTCAGAAGAGCTTTGATGGTGGACAAGCAGTGAATGTTCAGAGATGGCATTTTGCAAATGTTGGGCATCAAATGATACAGTACCATGCAGTTGCAATCTTGAATCTTAATTCTGTGAATGTAGAGCAGCAAGGTCCAGTCTCTGCAGGGCCTGGGGCTGTTATTTCTGTACAAATACAAGGTAATAAAGAACACTATCTGGGGCATATGCAAACATCTTAAATGCTGTTTACAGCTACATTGTATAGACATTAGAATTAACAACCTTCTGTCCTAAGCCACAGGCCTGTGGAGCTTAAATGGGAATGTACATTAGCTGTTGCTTATGTTATCCTTGTTCTATGTCAGCTATTGGTAATAGATGCTAATCAATCACAAACATTTCAGTAAGACGGATTTCTTCCAGCAGATGACAGTGGTGCACATAAGCACAACAGTATCTTACAACCATTATACCCTCTTGTCTCCCTAGTCTCAAATAGGAGATGCTGAATGGTTCAGAATCATGTGGGAGATCAACTGAGGAAAAGTTTTATAATGGTTGTTCCATGGCACTAATTTTCTAATACATTAATATTTTAAGTTAGTTAGATTAATTGGAAGCTCTTCATAAGAAGAACCAGGTGAGAGAACCAGACACCAATCTACAGTTACTTGTACAATAAAGCTTAATTGAATAAGTTTGTCACATTCTTTTTCTTGGGGAATATCCATCCTTTGTACATCAAATTGTCACCATGACAAATTCCTTTCCAGTAAAGAAGAAATGGCCACAGGCCCTCTTGGATATGTTGTGGAGACAGAACATCAGCATGACCTTTCTCCTCTTCTGTTGTGAACCTCTTCACATATGAGATAACCTCGTGTAAAGCCTATACAAGTGTCCCTAAGCCAAGGGAATAGGTAAGACCTTTTGATAATTTTCATATGACGAAAACACCATCGTCTTTTCGACTTACTGGGGGCCTGTGCAGTGTATTGTGATGAAGAAGGCATTTCAGGCTGCAGCTTTAGTATATGATTATTATTTCTGCAATAAGGATACTTCTTTAGCAATTGGCCTCTATGAACTCAGGATTTATTTATTATTTGATACTTTGTAGGGATTGACAGATCATTTCAGCCCACCTATGAGGACAGGTTCTTAATACAGCTCAAAAATGTTTTTGCTGGTGTAAGAATGATGTTTCAGATTACTTTCTTTTAGGCCTATTCTTATGATGTAATAGATTTCATAAATAGTCACTAAGAAGTTAAAATGTTATGAATATTAAAATGTTACTTAAAGCTTTTCTCTGCCTTGATTGCACAGATTTCTGCCCTCTCTGCATTTTATTTAAAAAAGAATAGACAACACAAAGGGGTTGAAATCCACTTTCTGAATCCCAAACAATTACTCTGGAACTTTTTATCTTTATGTGAGTTGTCTTACATAGAGAGGAGGATTGGAAACTGCCATTGTTTGTTATTTAAGTTGTCTAAATGCTATTTTAATTCCTCTCCCAGGGAAAAAAAAAACAAAACAAAAACAAAAAACAACAACCCTGTTAGAAAGACCTTTCCCTTTGCAGCCCTATGCCAGGGACCAACTAGGTAATAAATGAAAGTTCACACATTCATATACATGAAGATGATCAATCAGACACAAGCAGGGAATAATTGCCTTTCACAGCAGCTTACTTTGAGGTAGGAAAGGCTACATATTGGTCCTTATATACCCTGGGCAGCAGCCTTTACTTTTCAGTGTGTTTATAGATCATGCTGTGGCTTGGAATAGGAAAATATCTCCAGCACTGCATAAAGATTTGTAGAATGATAGTTCAGTCCTAACTGTGTAGACTTCGGTCTAGAGAGGGTAGACCCAGGGGACAATTTGCTTCAAGTCTGAGTTTCTTGTTACTGTAGGAATTTAAGCAATGCCTGAGAGTAAACTGGAATTTTGTAGAGGATGAAAACCCAACGGCATATAATTTAAGCTATAACCATGCAGTCTGTTCCATTTATTTGAATGAAGATCTCTCTGAATTTGTTTATAGAGGCTGAGCTCTAAATTCTGTTTTCTTGCAAGCTATGTTTAGCATGCATACTTAATTCTTTTGTGCACCATCTTTTGGTATAGCAAAGAATGGGGTATTCAGGCTGAGGTGTTTGTTAAATACCTCACAGGCTGTCTGCAGTGTCTTATTTCAGCATGTGAAATAATGAACAGGCAGCAACTTCTGTTAGATTGTGAAGTGGAGGGTGTGACTTTGGAAGATTAGTTCCATAGTCTGTCAAATACTTGTACATTGCCCTACAGGGAAAAGTATTGGAAAGGATTGTTACATTTGGAAGCAAACTATGGTAAGGGATGTTTTCAAACTTCTAAGCCCCTAAGATCCTCTGTATACCTGGGAAGCCTTTATACCTGTAGAGAAAAAAAAAGACAAAAATGTTCTTCTTTTTCCACAACTTTCAACTAATAAGGGCATTCATTTTTAGCCTGGACTACTGATTCAATTCGTCTGTCTACCAATAACAGGAGATGGCAAATACAAAAAAAACCCAAATGTACCTGATCATGCAGATTGGAAAAGGTTATTTCTCTTAACCACAGAAGACAGTATTTAGGGAGCTAGTAGAGCTGCCTTTTATTATCTGCTGACCATGTGTGCGTGCATGGATACAGTGACACACTGGGTAACATGAAGGGTCTCATGGTTTGAGAGGGGTCTTGTGTCAACATGTGTTCATGTACGAAATGGCACCAATTTCTATTGACGAACAGGTAGCAGCACTTTATTTCATAAAAGTGTTATTACTCATTAATGCAAAATAAGGGCCAGACCTGGCTAGAAAAAGCTAACACAACAAAGATGTATTTACAAGCGATTTCTAGAAACTGTAATGGAAATATAAAAGTAACATGCAGATACTGATATTATTGTGGAAGGTGAATTCACAGTTCCTCAGAGGCTGTGTAGTAAGAGAGAACCTGTATCAGCGATTCAGCCATGAGATACCCTTGTACTGGTTTTCACATGGCATATCTTGCCTGGAGTGCTGCAATCAGCAGGTGGCTGCACCTGTGATTTGAATCAGGTGTTGGCAATCCTATAAACTAGCACTTCGGTACATAGTAGGCTGCTGATGGCTTGGGACACTTAGTTGGAAGCAAAGTTGTTACTGGGCTTATTATAGCTGGGAAGCCTTATGACTGGTTTTCTTGAGTGTTTTAGGGAGTTTGTTGTCACTAACATTATGCCACAGTAAGTATTATGGCTAGTCCTATTGTTTAATAAATTAAACTCTTGTTTCTCCAGTGTGACGTTCAGCTTTTATAGGTGTAAGAGGTTTTCCTAGTATATTACTCCCATACAGGTGTTGTATCTTGAGTAAATTATTAGAAAATTCACATTTTGAGCCTATGCTACCTTTGGTATGATTTCCAGTTACCTAGGGATAAACTTCTTTTAGTTGGAAATCAGTATGATTTACTTCCAAGGGTGATCGCTTCTTTTGTTTTGGGCCTGTTATAATATACAATGTTTTCTAAATGCTGGAGGTGTAATTCAGGAATCAAGACAGTTTTGTATTTAGATACAGCTCAATCTATAAGAAATATGTAGTGGTGGTTTTCTTTTATAGTATGTCTTTCAAGCACTAAGAAATACATCGGGGAAATAGCAGAGACTAGGCCGAAGTTTGTAAGTGAGAAAAGAGTCTATAACCTTATTGTATGAATGTTGTGTGTCCTGTTGGTGATGAAGCATGCAGAAGAAAGTGATTGATAATGTTTCAGCTGATCTAAAATTTACTATAATGTTCTTTCTACTTGTGTAGGCATCTGCAAGAAAGCAGATCTGAAAACCAATTATGGTTTTCACTTTATCCTTCCTTGTTCTTTACTATAGGAGCATAGGGGGAAAAGCAGGTTTGCTTTTTCATTTTCATTCCTCTGTTTTATTACTTTTTGTATTGCATTTTTGCATATTCCGTTTTCTCCTGTTTATAATCTTCAACTGAAATTTCAAAGAGCTGCATTAAGTCTGAGGCCTGTTACTTCCTAAATTAAGAGCCACAACTCTTGTTGCAGTCTGTCTATGAATTTATATTTAAGCTCAGGGATATAAGATTTCAGCAGTGTATGGTTTCACATGACCAGTACTCGAGCAAAAACTTTCTCACTTGACCCCAGGCTAAGGGGAGGAGCAAAATGCTATTGTACGAAGTATAAGACTAAATTCTAATCTGTTGTCTCTACCTCTATTCTGACATAGTCTTGATGCTTGTCAAAGTATTTAGTTTTAGACAGACTATACATTCCAAACTGCACTTGAGGTATAGATTGTCTGTTCTGATACCCTTTTAAATAATTTACATCTTCAGTTTCATATACTCAGTTACAGGACTCCAGCTGACAGCCCTACCCCAGAAAAAATAGACACAAAGATCTGCTAAATTTGTTAAACAAAAGTTTTAGTTGAACAGTCAGATCAGAAATATGTATAAAAGTGTTTTCCCTGACTAAGAGATGGCATTAATAATAATTAATAACAAAACCTTCAATTGTTATTGACTTCTTTGTCATTAATGAAGTGATGGAATTATTTGAAAGAGTTGTTAAGCAACTTAGTGCTTGGAGTAAGCTAGTTATAATAATGACAATAGTATAAAATTTTTTTATCAAAACCAATTTAAAGATGATCTCAAGTGTTAAATTCTGTCAAGGTGCTAATATCAGAAAGGGATTTCTTTATAAGAAAACT